AGAGTGACTGAAAGCTATAGTTCCACATAGGTGTTTATGTTGCAGAAGAAAGAAACGGAACGGGTAAGCGGATGATACACTTGAGCTACTCCTGGAAGTTGAAAATAGTGGTATACATATATTATCATTGTGCTATAATTTCGCCACAGCTTATTTTTGCAAATGAGTCATGAAATCTCATCATAGCTTGGCAATGGTTAGTCAGCTCCAGGATGCACAAGACTAAGCAAATTCAATCTAGTAAGAAAAGAGTAGTAGTTTATTTAAAGTTTCAAAGACGTTTTCTTTTTCTTGAGAGTAACAAGAAGCTAGCCTGTTACAAATGGTCGGTTCATCCAAAGCAAAGTCACTTCTGATCTAAAGTTCTTATGTGGGCTTAAAAATGTCCTTTTGATAATTCAAATCATACTGAGATTTCTAAATAATCTGGAGTTGAGGGTGGGATATAAATGGAACGGTAGATGAAATAAGAATGCCATGAACTGTGTTAAAGCTGGGTGGTGGTGGTGGGGGGTGTAATTCTATTATTGTTTTTATTTGACTTATGTTTGAAATGTTTCCATAATAAAAACAGACAAAATTTAAAAAAAAACAAAACCACAACACCTCATTGAAATGATGGAAATGGATCTTGAGAGCTTGTTTGGAGGCTCTAGCAGGGAACATGGCTACTTGCACACCCTTGACTGAAAACAGTCCTCCTTTATCGGGGATGGTCATCCTCTTCAACCAAGTGTGCAGCTTTAGGAGGGACACGGATAAGCAGGGAGGGAAGAAGGGGACACCCTCCTAGCCAGCCAGATCAGCTGAATAAACCTGGGGATCGATGGGCTGACAGCTGTCACAGCCAGATCACCCTCACATTCTGGAATTAGAGAATAGGGACGGCTGCGCGATTCAGCAAATGTGCTACAACAAACAAACAAGTAAAACTGAACCGTACACTTTAAAACTGGTGAATCTGTGATACGTAAGGTACACATCAGTTAGATAGGGAGTTCATGTACACTTGGCTTCTTTTACATTACATGCTTCTCAGGACTACTAACAAATATCTCTTTTTTTAAATCTGGAATCCCTGCTCTGGCAAGTAGCTGCCATGAGGGTAAGCCATGACTGATTTCCTTACGCATGAGAGTCGACACAATACGTGCCTGTCCCTCAGCTAGGGTATGATCAAAGGAATCAGACTATCACTGCATTACATATTCTCAGTGCTACCTTACGGGGTGGCAGACAGTGTACTAGGTATTAGGGATCGATTGAGCCCAGTTTGAAAAAGAAAGCAAAGCCAATGCCCTGTCATAATGCCATAGCCTGAGGAAACATAAACCCCAGGTGAGGAGCTGGGCTAGAATAGTCATAAACAAGAATGAGAGGGGGGAACCAGCAGTTAGCGTAATGGCTATGTCGCTGGACTCCCACATGGTCGACCGCGGTTCGCGTCCTGGACCCGGTGGCTTAAAACTCACGCTGGGCACGTGTGTGTGCATGCCCAAGATCCTGAGAGGAGAATGGAGGAGAAGGGACTGCGGTGTGACCATCCCCCCCCGGGGGGTTATTTCTCACTTTCTGTCTCTCTGTTTCTCTCTGTCTGTCTGGTGAGCGCATGCGCCCTATAGTGAAAGCCTCTCAAAAAAAAAAAAAAAAAAGAATGAGAGGAATACATATAGGTTTCGGACTGGATGCTGGTGAGAATCGGTATTAAAAAGGATGTTTAAAATTGTGAGTCAAATGGAAACTTTCCATTAAACTATACTGTAACGAGAATAAATGGAAACTTTCCATTAAACTATACTGTAAATGAGAGTGAAGATCTTTTTTTTTTTTTTTCTTTTTCAGAGAGGTTTCTGCTATAGGGCAAATATGCTCACCAGAGAGACAGAAAGGGAGAAGTCATCCCTGGCCCCCCAGAGGGTATGGTCATGCCACTATCCCATCTCCTTCGTTTTCCTCTCAGGATTTTGGATATGCATGCACATGTGCCTGGCTTGAGTTTTAAACCACCAGGTGAGGGACTCAAACTGCAATCAACTACGTGAGAGTTTAGCAAAGTAATCACTATGCCATCTGCTGGTACCAAGAGCGAAGATCTTATCCAAGGCCTTAACTAAGCCTGTCTGCTCAAATCTGCAATATAAATTACAAAACTACGACCAAGAGAAATTCATACATCTGCTGGCCAATTTAAAGGTTCCTAAGGTGTATGTGTATCCAGTAAGAAGGATGACAGGATAATCGAACACAAGCATTTTAAGGTCATTTAGATAAACACACACACACACACACACACACACACTGGGAGCTCTTTAGTATAAGAAAAAGAAAGTCCCTGAGGAAAATTCTGTAGGATTTTGAAAATGTAGTTGTTTCCAAAAAAGCAAATTAGATCCTAGAAGGACGACTATATCTGAGGTAAAGAGTGTGAAAGCTAGAAGAGGCCACAAAAGAGGACAAAGCTGTACAAAGTGTCTTCAGAAAGCTTGTAGAATTGTGTAGTATTGAAAATCTATGGATAGATTTAATTTTTTTTTTTTTTGGAAAGGTTTTTGCTATAGGGTGCGTGTGCTTGCCCGAAAGACCGAGAGAGACTGAGACAGAAAACAAGAAATCACCCCCCGGGGGGATGGCCATGCCGCAATCCCTTCTCCTCTATTCTCCTCTTGGGATCTTGGGCATGCACACACATGCGCCTGGCATCATGTCAAACCGTGGTCGACTACATGGGAGTCCAGTGACATAGCCATTATGCCAACTGCTGGCCCCTTAATTTTTTTTTTATACTAGAATAAACTCATACTTTAACTCCATTTTCCACAACTTTTGAAGTCCCTTCGTATATATGAGAGGTGAAGATACCTTCCTAAGAGAAAGGATTGGGCCTTAACCAAAGCAATTGCCAATATTCACTAAAAATAGTAGGGTCTTGTGCATAATTCACCAAAGAAAATAAATGGGTTACATAGTTATAAAGAGAATAATGGGGGAGGGGAGAGATCTTTTGGAAATTCAGATTCTGATTAACAGGAAAAACAAAAGAATAATGTGTAACCAATAAAAAACACTTTAATGATAACATGTAAGTAATGGAATGACTGTTGTGAACATGCATGAATACCCACTGAATCATTAAGTTAAAGCTGACTGTATTTCCTAATCTAGATCATATTTGATAATTAGCTAGCACTGAAAATTTGTTTAGTATTCACCGTGTTCTGTCTTTGTTGCCTGACATGCTGGTGGAAAGTACTATTCTAGAAAGTTAAAGAAAACATGCTGGAACAAAAAAGCAAAAATAAAGGGAAGAAAGGAACAAAATGTAAAGCAAGCAAAATGAACACAAAAAATACTAAATGAGGGATCAAAATAAGACATATGGGGCCAGCAGATGGCGTGGTGGATAAGGGCGCGAGGCTCCCACATCGGTCAACTGTGGTTCTAGACCCAGATTGGGTGGCCTGCTTTCTCGCTTTCCTTCTCTCTCTTACTCTGTTCCTATCTAGTCAAATTTAAATAATTAATTAATTAAAGTTAATAAAAGAAGACAACATGTATTTTCTTTAAGAAGATAACTGATAAGAGGGAAACAAAAATATTACAGAAGACTAATCAGGAGCCTACTGCCAAGAAATGTGGTTGCTGGGGCCGGCAGTTGCATAATGGCTATGTCGCTGGACTCCCACGTAGTCGACTGTGGTTCAAGTCCTGGACCCGGTGGCTTAAACTCATGCCGGGTACATGTGCGTGCGTGCCCAAGATCCTGAGAAGAGAATGGAGGAGAAGGGATTGTGGTGTGGCCATCTCCCCTGGGAGTGTTTTCTTGTTTCTATCTCTCTGTCTCTCTCTGTCTTTCTGGCAAGTGCACGTGCCTGATAGCAAACACCTCTCAAAAAAATAAATAAATAAATGAATAAAATAAAAAATAAAATAAATAAAAAGAAATGTGGTTGCTAGGATGCTGGCATTAGGGATGGAGTGGAAAGTTTCCACGTGTGAGCTGTAATGGAAATGATACAGCTTGATGAAGAACTGGATGTGGTGCGCGACAAAGAAGATGTCCAGAATAGTCCTTAGATTTTGGCTTGAGGGACCAGCAGTTAGCGTAATGGCTATGTCGCTGGACTCCCATGTAGTCGACCGCGGTTCGAGTCCCAGACCTGGTGGCTTAAACTCATGCCAGGCGCGTGTGTGTGTGTGCCCAAGATTCCAAGAGGAGAATGCAGGAGAAGGGATTGCGGCGTGGCCATCTCCCCTGGGGGGTGATTTCTCACTTTCTATATCTCTGTCTCTCTCTGTCTGTCTGGCGAGTGCATGCGCCCTATAGCAAAAACCTCTCCAAGAAAAAAAGATTTTGGCTTGACTACTAGGTGCTTTGAAGACTCTTTTAATGAGAAAGATGAGGGAAACGTAAAGATTAAGGTGTGAGGAAGAGTTATGATTCAGAAATGTGTTTGATACTTTGGAGACAAGTACGAGGAAGTCAATTAGGCAGCAGGCTGTTCTATAAGCTTATCACCCAGCCACTAGTAGAATGTCTGCCAAGTGCTCAATAAACTGCATCATATTAGGGAGGCTAACAGGTGGTGCAGTGGTTAAGGTGCTGGACTCCTACATGGCTGACTATGGTTCAAGTCTGGGCCAAGCAGCTTGAAACATGCAGGGCATGTGCGTGAGAACCCAAAATCCCCAAAAGAGAATGGAGGAGAAGGGATTGTGACACAGCTATGCCCCCTGGGGGGTAATTTCTCACTCTCTTTATGTCTCTGTCTCTCTGATGAGTATATACATGCTCCCAATAGCAAAAAAAAAAAAATCACTCAAATAAATAAATAAAAAGAAAATCAAGCTTAATCCTACTTTGCAAAGGCTTTCGTTTTCTCATAAAAACTTACTACTGCTACTGACAGAGAAATAGAAAAAAACGTATTTCCTACCTGTGACTGGAATATATTCTAATATAGGTCAGAAAAATGTCAGAGGGACGCTATATAATCAAATCAAGACACACCACAGAGAGATAAAATAAGAGAAGACAAGAAAAGGAAGTTGTGGGGCATTTGATGGAAAGTTTCGCTGCCTGTTATCCTCCAATGTGTAGTAGTATAAGAAATTAAACTGCTGAGGAAACGTGTGTCTGCAAAGGTTAAAAAAAAGCCCAAGTTACATTTTAAAAATAAGCTAATACAAAAAAACATACTTGGTACATCTCGTACTATGATTGGTAGAGGTAAGGATTAAATATCAATGATAAATTATAAGTGAATTTATACCAACAATTTCTCATCCAAAAACTTTTCATCATCCAAAAGAAGGAAGATACAGGACTAGATGAAAATCACAGATGAAATTCAATTGAAAGATCTTGCCAACTTGAGAAAAATCAGGAAAAGGCATAATCAGAATTCATAAAGAAATATGAGCAAAATATCATAAATTAGAGAGGCTTAGAAAGTAAGTCGAGAATTAAATAATCAATTTAGGGTAAATATAATCCAAGACACAAATAGATGATTACATATCAGACCCTAAGTGATAACAGTGAATCATACGTAACAGTACATGCAGCCTGCAACATGATATTAAGTTAAAAGGAGAAATGTCAACATTAAATGGGATGTTCATTTCAACTGAACTTAATCCTGTCATTTGAATGCTTCCCTAGTTTTTATTTCCCACCTGAGACTGTTGAGATCAAGATCATCTGTATCAAAATCCAAAAGGGGCTGTGGAGTATCACTCGGACCATGAGACTGCAAGACAGATGAACTGGAAGATATGACTGTGGTTTGACCTGAGGGATGGATGGTTTTGAACTGGAACTGTGGACCCATCCACAGACGTCTGTGGGGTCCAGTGTGTGTTACAATTTCCACCTAGAACAGAGCAGAAATCATGCTTTAAATGTATTATAATCTCACTTTGAAAATGCTAGTGATCACCTACTCCAACCATCCCTTTTCTCAACACCCACATTTTCCAAGAAGCCCACCTAATTAAGCAGGAGAACGAAAGGGTGCCCATAAGCAAAAGGCAATGACAATCAGCCTACATAGACATTTTCAATATCCCTCTGTTGCTTTTTGTTTTGTGTTTTGCGATAAGGTGCAGGCACTTGCCAGAGAGAGAAAGTAATCACCCCCCCCCGGGGGGGTGGTGGTGGCTATGCCACAATCCCTTCTTCTTCATTCTCTCGGGATTTTAGGCACCCACACAATGTGCACCTGGTGTTTTTGTCAAGCTGCTGTATCTGGGATGTGAACCGCACAGTTGGTTATTTGGGATCAAACCACTTTAACCTCTATGCCACCTGCTGGCCCCCTATACTGGTTTTACTCAACATTTAAAAATACATGTACACATGAACATATTTATCAACAGACAAACCGAGACACATGCACCACACACAATATAACAGAAAAATCACATGAAAGTAAAAGGACTAGTCGCCTGCCTCATATAACTAGTGTCAGTTCCTTACAGACTACCTTTATTATTTATTCTAGATAGTATTTACCACATGCACTGAATACTACTACATCTATTAGTCCACAGATTAAAAGTGAGTTCTTCCCTAAGGATCAAGCTCATGACAAACTTGAGGTTCTTATTGAACTATCCAAGGAAAAGAAAAGGTCTGAAAAAAAATTTTAGGACCTGTTTTACAGCCTGTTTCTTTCCATAATTAAATGTTTTCTGAGCTGTCCTTAAAAGACCCCAAAATCTGGGACCAGCAGTTAGCGTAACGGCTATGTCGCTGGACTCCCATGTAGTCGACCACGGTTCGCGTCCCAGACCCAGTGGCTTGAAACTCACACCGGGCGCATGTGCATGCGTGCCCAAGATCCCAAGAGGAGAATGGAGGAGAAGGGATTGTGGTGTGGCCATTCTCGCTGGGGGGTGGGGGTGGGGTGATTTCTCTCTTTCTGTCTCTCTGTCTCCCTGTCTGGTGAGCGCACGTGCCCAATAGCAAAAATCTCTCAAAAAAAAAAAAAAAGACCCCCAAATCTACTTTTGAATGAAGACATTACTATATATTTTCTCTCGAACTAGATATTTTGTCTTCAAAATACCTTAGAGTGTTTTCTCATTGCCTCAAACACTGATACAGGAATTACAGGTACTACAAAGCAGCCATGCCATAAGGCTTCATGAATTTCCTGCTCCATAGACGGGGTAGGGAATGATACTAGTATTATAATAAAAACTGTAAAGCTTAAGCAGAGAATAAAAGATATTGGTTAAAACCTGAAAATATGTGCAAATGAGCATTTTCCTGTCCTTGGGGTAGACACCCAGGAGTGGAACTGCTGAATAACATGGTAGTTCTCTATTTATAGGTCTTTGAGGTACCTCCATATGTTCTCCACAGTGGTTATGCTAATTTACCTTCCCACCACCAGTGTAAGAGAGTCCCCTTTTCACCAAAGCATCGCCAGCACTTACCATATTTTATTTTTATTTATTTAGAGAGAGATTTTTGTAATAGAGCACATGTGCTTGTCAGAGGAACAAAGAAAGAGACTTATTGTGAGAAGTCACCACCTCAGGGTGGATGGACATGCCACAATCCCTTCTCCTTCAATCTCCTCTTAGGATTTGGGCATGCATGCACACGCGCCTGGCATAAGTTTTAACTGCTGAGTCCAAGAATCAAACTGTAGTTAACTACGTGGGAGTCCAGCAATGTAACCATTATGCCATCTGCTACTCCCTATACTTTCTTTTTGAATCTTAGCCATTCTGACTGGGGTTAGGTGGTATCTCATTTTAGTTTTGATTTGCATCTCCTTTATGAGAGATGTTGGACATTTTTTCCATGTTCTTTTTAGCCATCAAATATCTTCCTTAGACAGTTGTCTGTTCAGCTCACTTGCTCATCTTTCAATTGAGTTGATGATTTTTTGGGGGAGATAAGGTGTTTGAATTTCCTATAAATTCTGTTAACAATCCCTTATCTGAGGCATACTTTGCAAATACATTCTCCCATTCCGAAGGTTGCTGACTCACTCTAATTATTTTTTTCTTTTGCTGTGCAGAGCTTTTTAATCTAATGTTATCCCACTTGTCTATTTTTGGATTACCTGTTCTTTGGGGGTCTTGTTCAAGAAGTCTTTGCCTACTCCTATGTTTAAGAGTTTCCCTTCCGTTTTCCACCGGTAGTGTTATAGTTTGCACATCCATATTTATTGCAGCCCTATTTATGATTGATAAAACATGGAACCAACCATAAGGTCCACAAACAGATAAGTGGATTGAAAAAGTATGGAACATATACACTACAGCACACTACTCAGCCATAAAAAGACCCTGGCATTTGACAGAAAGTGGACAAATATGGAAGATTTACTGTTAAGTGAAGCAAGCTAAACAATGAAAGAGAGGCAGTGGATTTCCACACTCAATATATATTGGATGTCGGCACTCAATGGCAGAAACTGGAAGATATAAAAGCATGGCTAGTGGAGACAGTTGGTAAGAAGGATGGGAAATGGGCGAGGGTGAGACAGAGAGAATCAAGGGGAAGAAGAAAGAACCCAAACATTTAAGGGACCCAAAATAGAAAGAAATCTGTTGACTATAAGGTTTATGGTAATGTCTTTGACTGGACCAATATGCAGAATATTTGTGGTGGAAAAATTCCTTTGGTATGCTGTAATGATACACAGTGATTAAATGTATTAAAATTAATTAATTTTCTAAAACCTTGAAAATAAACTTATTATATGATTTTAAATATAATCAACCTGAATTAGAAACTAAATATGCAAACCTTTTGTAAAAGTCTATTTCTTAATGTCTTGTCATTTTTACATGCATGTCTGTAAATACTTTAGGGTACTGACTTCCCATGTACCTTAATTTGGGCCTGAGTTATTTTATATTTAATCACATGTCTCTGATTGTGGTGATTAATTCTTAACAAAACATAACTGAAAAGGTTCACAGATCATAGCTCGGTGTTTATGGATCCAAATGGGCAAAAGCATCGTGGTCTTGGAACAACATTCACATTCCCACTAATCACAGAGAGAAAAATACTCAGATTGAGGACAGTGATTTCTGATTCAAGTAGTTGTATTCAGCAACGTAAATTAGGCCACAGATAAAGCATTCTGTGTATTTTAAGCTCAAAACCATCAGTGTCCCAGAGCCGAGAGGTAAACAGATGCCTGTGCAATTTCACTGCGGCGGTGGCCAGATGTTCCTGTTCACTCTCCTGTTGTGTGCAGGACAAACATATTGTATATACTTTCACACTGACAGCACACATTATCCCTTTTTCTAATTGAAAAGTTGAAGTGAAGGACAGTAGTTTCTTTGCCAGCATTCTTGGACAATGGTTTGATTTTGGAAAAATACCATGAATTTAGGGTTTACTTTATCTTAGTACCGTCAAGAAAAGATGGACCTCCATACATTAAGAATTAAAGCCTTGACCCTCCTTCAAGGAGGTTCCTGTATTTTCCATAGGATTAAATAAACAAATGTTACTGAGAAAATGATTCTCCCCTTTCCAGATTCAATTTACTTATTCAGGATACCCTCTCTGAGAAAAAAGGTTAAACTATGAACAGCCTCCACTTTTTCTGAGGCACCTGTCTGATGAACAGCCGCCAGATTGGTAATCTGAGACAGGTCATTAACTTCACCAAATGATGTCAGACTTGAGGCAGACATAACAGCATTTGTAATGAAGTCATTTGTAATCTCATCATTTTGAAATCTGCCCAAGTATCTTTTATTTCAAAGCCCTTGAGATGAAGACAATTTCACCTGGCAAGGAAAGAAATGGCCATCAAAGGACTTGTAGAGACCACTAGAAGCTGCATTACGTGACCTTAGGAAAGGAAACCCAACCGTGCAGCATCAGAACTTGTGCACAGTAGAATGTTGAACTTCCATAATGAGAGTATGAACCCAATCTTCAGAAAATGTTGGCTCCACAAAAAAAATAATCTCAAACATTGTCTAGTGGTTTCACTGTTTTCACAAGGACAACTCTTACTTTAAACTGCATGAAAATGAGTTTCAGAGGATCTGAAAAAGCCCAGCTGCTGTGGCATAGCATAATTTGCAAAGCTGGAAGTCACATAAGCAATAATGATTTGGATCCTCAGATCACCCTGAAAACATGCCAGCTATGCACACGGACACCCAGGATCCTGAGGAGGGCTGGGGAAAAGATATGAGAGATCGTGGCATGATGAGACTATGTGAAGGGTACTTCTCCCCCTCCCTCTAATATGCATGAAAACATATACATGATCACTATCATATTTTTTAAAAAGTCTGTCTAAAATCCAAGGTCTTTTAGGTTTTAAACAAATTGTTTTTAAAAAATGCACATTTTATGTCCTCTGCAAGACAGCGAAAAGAACGTAAATATATATATATGTGTGTGTATGTGTGTGCATATGTGTATGTGTAAATATATATATATATATGCACACGTATATATATAATGTATGCATATATATAATAGCTATATATCTGCATGGAATAGACATGTAGGCGTGCAGCAATATTTATGAAGAAATCATGATATCAGAAGACAATAAACTAATTCTTTTTTTTTTTTTGGAGAGGTTTTTGCTATAGGGCGCTTGCGCTCGCCAGACAGACAGAGACAGAGAGACAGAAAGCGAGAAATCACCCCCCGGAGGGATGGCCACGCCGCGATCCCTTCTCCTCCATTCTCCTCTCGGGATCTTAGGCACGCACGCACACGCGCCCAGCGTGAGTTTTAAGCCACTGGGTCCGGGACACGAACCGCGGCCGACTACATGGGAGTCCAGCGACATAGCCATTACGCTAACTACTGGTCCCAATAAACTAATTCTTGACAATTTAACAAAGAGTTACCAATTGTCCCCATTTTCCTCTAAGGCAAAATACAAAAACCAACCGTAGATTTTTACTTTTACTTTAATACCCCAAATACTTCAATTTTTACCTGAGATAGCCATTCTTCATCTTCCTGTCCGCTATGGTCAGACGCTAAACTATCATAGGACCCATGCCGAGTAATGGGCCCAGGACTTCCAGGGGGAACCACTATAGGAGAAAAAAAATGGGTTTAAACCACTTTAATACATGCAATAGAAATATGGACATGGATACAACTGTCTTCGATACCATGATAGCTTATAAGATAATAGATATTTAAATTACAGAGACAATGCAAGTGATTAATGAATAAGACAGACATTCTTGGGAATAATAAGAAAAATTTCCAATTAACGTTATACTTTAAAGACATCTAGAGGAATTTTATAAGGAAATCTTATTGCGAAAAGTAAACAAACAACCAACTAACTGTAGTTTAACAGCAAAAATACATTGAGGAACAATAATGAATCTATTCAGTAGAGTGTTACATTAAGATTCTTTTTTTTTTTTTCTAACAGCCAGACAGTGTGTATGATTCTCACAAAGAAGAGGGAGAGAGGGAGAGATGGAAAGACAGAGAGAGCACGAGAGAGTGATGCTCATGCCACAATCCTTTCCTATACTTTTCATCATCTTGTTGGGATTTTGGATATGCATACACACATGCACAGTGTCTTTTGTTTGTTTGTTTGTTTTGGAGAGGTTTTCGCTATAGGGCGCATGCGCTCGCCAGACAGAGAGAAAGAGACATAGAGACAGAAAGTGAGAAGTCACCCCCCAGGGGGGATGGTCACGCCGCAATCCCTTCTCCTCCATTCTCCTCTCGGGATCTTGGGCACGCACGCACACGCACCAGGCATGATTTTCAAGCCACTGGGTCTGGGACATGAACCGTGGTCAACTACGTGGGAGTCCAGTGACATAGCCATTACGCTAACTGCTGGTTCCCCACAGTGTCTTTTTTAAGCCTCAGGGAATGTGATTTGAACCACAGTCAGCCATGAGGAATTCTGCTCCCTTAACTACTTGGCTATGGTGCTGATCCACGTAAAGATTCTTTCTTTTTTTTTTAAGATATTTTTCAGAATTATTGATTCATTTATTTTTATTTATTCATTCAGTTATTTTAATTTGAACAGAGAGAGACATGGAAGGAGAGAAGGAAAGTAAGAAAGCAAGTTAGCCATCAGGTCTGGGTCTTGAACTGTGGTCAGCCATGTGGGAGTGCCCAGCACCCTAACCACCATGCCACCTGCTAGCCCCATAAAGATTATTTCTTAAAAAGTCTTTTTTTTTTTTTTTGAGAAGTTTTTTGCTACAGGGTGTGTGTACTCACCAGAAAGACAGAGAGAGACAGAAAGACAGAAGGTGAGAAATCATCCCCCAGGGGGAATGGCCACACCACAATCCCTCCATTCTCTTCTCGGGGTCTTGGGCATACACACACATATGTGCTCAGTGTGAGATTAAGCCACCAAGTCCGAGACTAGAACCGCGATTGACTACATGGGCATCCAGCAACATAGCCATTACCCCAACTACTAGTCCCTAGACTTTTATAGAGCAATTTTAGGTTCACAGCAAAACAGAGCTGAAGGAACATAGATTCTTTTATATACCCAACTCACATGGACCATTTTAATACTCAAAAAGATTAAGCAATGAAGTACTTGAGGAATATACAAAATAGGGGAGAAGGTGAAAAGTATGAAGAAAAGTAAAGTATCAAACAAGCATGACAGAAACAGAAAAGAATGAGAAACAAAAATAAATTCTACCATTCAGAGTTATATGCACATACATTGACATGCAAATTTTTCTTTAGGCTATATATATTCCTATAAATGAAAACAAAAGACACGATTGTTTTTTAATTTAATACATATTCCAAGAAATAGTTATCTACTTCCACAAGCAGTCAATAACTATGCTAACTTCAATATGCTCTTGGCGAAACAAGGTATTCTAAAGAACTGTTGGTTAGTGAAACAGATAGAAATAAAGTAGACAAAGAAGAACGTGGTGCAACATTTAAAACAACTCAGAGCTGGGACCAGCAGTTGGCGTAATGGCTATGTCGCTGGACTCCCACATAGTCAGTCGACTGCGGTTTGAGTCCTGGAACGGGTGGCTTAAACTCATGCCAGGTGCATGTGCATGTGTGCCCAAAATCCCAAGAGGCAAATGGAGGAGAAGGGATTGCGGCATGGCCATCCTCCCAGGGGGGGGTGATTTCTCACTTTCTAGCTCTCTGTCTGTCTCTGTCTTTCTGGCGAGCACATGCGCTCTATAACAAAAACCTCTCCAAAAACAAAACAAAACAAAACAACTCAGAGCTCAATGCAGTACTCAGGAGGCTAAGGCAGGAGGTCTGCAAGTTCAAGGCCATCCTGGAAACCACAGAGAAACCCCATTTACTTAAAAAAAAAAAATAATTAAGAAACTATCTTGGGACCAGCAGATGGCATAGGGGTTATAATGCTGAACTCCCATGTAGTCGAAATGAAGTTTGAGTTCTGGACCTGGTGGCTTAAAACTCATGGTGTGTGTGTGTGTGTGTGTGTGTGTGTGTGTG